ATCTTTAATAGCAAAATTATTTAGTTGAACGGACAACCGACAAAAAAAATATCATGTTAAATAGGATAAAAAAAGACATTTTTATGTTCGGCCCGGGAAATTATTTCCATTAGTCGTTACTTCCGCCTAGGAGGCACGGTGGATTAATGGATAGTGGCTAGGATTGAATTCCAGTCGAGTCCATTACATTCACTTACGTGCTAATACCCTTGGGAAAGGTGTGAATCCTATTCTTCTCCCTCCAGCTATGGGTAAATAGCAGGGCAGACTGGGTTCTATAGCCTTGGATGGCAACTAGTCTAGGTGAAAGACAACTCTGAAGTAGAGCCCCTAAGGAGGATGGACGGCACTTTGTGCTACCTTCCGGCAACTCCTGCAGCCGCGCTGGTACCAAACTGTATTGGTTTATCCTCTCCTTTGGACTCTTCTAGCAAGGCCGAGAGGGGGAACTAGACGTCTGGACAGCCCTAGTTCTCCATATATCCCACCCAGGCTTGTAGTGCACCGCGCTTACTCCATCGTCTCTCGAGACGGACGGATGCCGACGATGACTTCCGCCTGCAGTAGATTGCGAACTACTATGATTTATTTCCCGCCATTTATTACGATCTGAGGCAAACTTATTTAGTGTCTACCACTCATTTGTTGGTGATCACAGAATAATGGTATCCCTCCACATCTCTTTTTGGTTTTCCTTTATTTCTTTTTTCCAGGCACCATATTCTGGAGGCACAGTTCAGCGAGCCCGGCACTCGATCTTTTTCGTTGTCCAAATAGTTTCCAGCATTTGTTATGGATTCTAAGGGAGAGTGGAGGCATATTGGTTACATTTTTAAGAGTATTTTCCCTTTGTCTAACAGCTGTGGATGTGCGTTGTGACGTGATGGATATCGATTCGGGATGAGAAATCGCGGAACCGCGATCGTTTCATTCACTTACCCGCAAATACTTTTGGGGGTGTATAAAGACATCTGTTCACCTCCCCCGCTATAGAACAAGCCTGTTCTATTATTCAATCAGGACAGACCGAGTTTCTATAGTCTTGGTTGGCAACTAGTCTACCGCAGAAATATTATAATTGGCTACCTAATCTTCAAAACCTCTCATACATTGAGCCAGAATGGAAAAGAGGTTCATCAAATTAACATAAGAATAATATCTCAGTCTGCAACAAGCGGGGTAAGCGATTCTTTAATCGGCTTGTGATCTGTGATGATGCGCGTCATATGGTCTTGGAATGTTTTTAATTGAGCTTCCGAGTCCATGTCACACAATCTAAACTATATAAATCATTAAAATTAACATAACATGGTTTAAAAATATTTAAAAAAAATGTATTATTATTATTATTTTAAATGTATCTGTCTATATTTCTGAGATGAGGCATTATTTATACTATATTCGGACCATTGTCCTCAACTTTGTTGCTATATTTATCACAACGTTTCGGCCGTTGTACGTGATGTACGCTCCAGACTTCAGGTGGTTGGAATGTCGAACTGAACCCTTTATTTCGCTCGCTGGGGTAGACTGTTCTAGTTCCACGTTCAATAGATGTCAATTATCAGTTATCTTCTGTTAATTCCCCTTTCCAAGTCCTCCACTGGTATTGAACTTACACTGTCACTGAATTTAACCAACGCCTTCATCCACTGTGCCATGTGTCCTTAAGTACATCTGTGTATGAATTTAAGGGACTTATAAACTTAATGTCCACCAAGGTGGAAACGAGGCAGGGCTGTCATTGCCCAATCAGAGGAATCGTTACATGCTAGTTAAAACAATGTCGTTAAAGAAACATTTGGATTGACCACTTAAATTCTTACGAGGAGTCGTTACAATCTACAATACGTGGAGACTCGGTCGTGTATTCATTCTGCGAGAAAGCCATGACTTACTTTACTGTACTTCCTTCACTCTAAGATCATAGCTGGTGAAATTTGGAAGGTGGGAAGGAGAGAGAAAAAAAGTGAGATAAAACATGCGAGCTGGGATAACAAATAATGAATAAGACAAAACTATTCGGTAGTTCATAAGGCATGGATGGACAAAGAACAAGAAAGAAATGTCGAATTATGATTTTTTTTTTAAATTAACCCGAAGAATGTTTAAAAGTTGAAGTTTCTCTCAGGACAACGAAATGTGACAAATCCATGCAAATTGTTTAGGTTTACGTTTCTTTACCTAATCATCCTGGAGTGCAGAATTAATTTCAACTCGGAACTATTGTGCAGCATAGCACAAAGCTTCATATCTTGTTTTGAAACTGTTTAATTTTTTTACATTGTAATTTGTAATAGAGTTCTCTCGTGAAATCATCAATACACAGATTTAAATTTTAATAAATCTGTGAAGTTTTCAAACGAAATTAAAATTTAATTTATTGATTTTCTTAAATTTTGATAATAACGGCTTCTTTTGAACAAGGGTTTTTTTACAAAAAAAACAACAACAACAAAAAAAAACAGCTAAGCAATCTACTGTTCTTGCTACAAAGAACATTGCATTTTTATTGGATCAGATTTAAATGAATAAAAGTAAATAAAAAAAGTATCACTTTATTCATTTGCAACAAAAAAGAATGAAAGTTGCAGAAAAGATGAATTCTGAATTATCTACTCAGGATTTTTAATGTTAAAATAAAAAAATTAATACCAACTCATTGCATTTTGTTTATGAATTCACGGAAATTGACAACTTTGATTTTAAATCGAGTTGAAATTAGTTCCGAGTTGAAATTAATTCCGAGTTGAAATTAGTTCTGTCACTCAATATCCTGAGTCTGGAGTTGTTGATTTGACGTTATCTACTGCTGACTCCTGATCAAGATGATGACCCCTTGTGAAAAGTGAGAAAAGAGAGCCAGAAGGAATCGTTACTTTTATTTTTATACGCTCCCGCGAACGATTTTCATTGGTCAGGAGGTGGTCATGACGTCACGTCTATTTTCAGCAACGAAAATCTTCTGTTCAGCTCTATACATAGTCCAAATTTTCTTTGTTTCTTTCCTTTATCGTTTTCATTTTGTTGTTTTAGCTTAATTAGCTTTCCTGTACTGTCTGAACTTCCGAGATTAAATATTTTTATTCTTACTTTTTTTTATTTTATTTTATTCATAATTTGTTTTTAATTCAACGTCTTGGACGTTATCTTTTTTCATTTTTTTCCCTCTATTGTATCTGTTTCTAGTCTCAACCCAAAACTCAATCTGTTTTTTGCGTATGCCGAACTAGTATTGAAAAGTTCTCGGCCCGGCCCACTTCCAAAACTCTAACTAAATTGCCAAACATAATGATGTTTTTGGAAGTGTGTCTTGATCAGACCACTACTACTTCCGGTTTCCCTCTGGAGACTAGAAGAAGTAATACGAAACCTAAATTAATATTAATTCAATTCGATATACTTATAAATAGTCTAGAATTCTTAGCTTCCAAAACTTGCAGCATTTTCCACATACAGGACATAGAGTTTCCTTACAGGTTAGAGAGACCCGTGTCTGCATATTATGATAGTGTTGTAGCGGACGGTGGGTTTACGTGTTAAATTCGGAAGACGTACGTTTATTCATGCTAGAAGAAGGTCCAACTACAAGAACATGACGGACTCAGAGATTGAATCCACCATAAAGAAGTGTAAAGAAAACAAACAAGACCTATATATGTATATACCACAAGTATATGTATTAAACAACACAATTTACAATGGACATAAACATTAACATTTGTGTGTGTGTGTTAACGTAAAGAGTTTGTATTTTGGTGAATGTTCGTACGTACGTCTATGTGTGTATAATGGTCATAGCATCTCCCACAAATGGGAAGACGCAATGTTCTGCGAGAGCTTACATTGTAGATGTGTTTGCTGAAAATGAAGAAATGAAAAATAGGACGAGGCAAGAAATCGACCAGTATTTATAGTGTAGGGAGAGCGTGCCCTAGTGAACAATTTGGACAATTAAGGAGGAGTTAACTCCGACAGTGCTCTTCGCCGGCACAAAGGTGACCGGCTTCGAAAGTTGCAACGTCTTGTCTACAAATCTAGCACAACGGTACAAAGTCAGAAGCTAGCATTTCTTCCCGAAATCTGATAAAATGATATATCAGAATATTTTTAGGAAGTCTGCAGGTTATTTAAAGCCAGAAATTTTTTTAGATTGTAAGGTTTTTTTAAGCGATAATAATGATTTACTGATACAAGTCTTACTAATTAGCCCATGGCTAGAGGGGAGGGAGTAGAGCTGGATGCATAACCTTCCCAGGTTTGCGCATAAGAGAATAAAAACGAACGGGGATTGGACTGGAACTCGGCTCTCCGATTTCTAATTCCGAGTCGTTATCTAATACACCAATCGCACATCCAAGCTTAAAGCGGCCACCCAACTATGTCCTGACCAAGTTCAACGTTGCTTAACTTCGGTGATCTTATGAGAACCAATGTTAAAACGTGATATGACTGTCAGCCATACTCATTAAGACGATAAAAAGTTTGGTAAATGGCTTATTAAGCCATTTTAGTTGTTTGATTTTAAGAAGTATTTTACGAGAAAATCGCAGAATCATTTTCAAATGGATTTCCATCTTTTTTACTTTGATCGCAAGTCAACTGAAAATTATACGCATTAACAGGAGTAGATAGCTTCGCCTATCGTCTGGTTCACGCTCCTCCCTGATCTTTTGAACAGGGGTAGAGGTTTATCCCTTGTTTCCTGTTTAGGATTGTGTTTCCGGTTCTTTCTAAGATCTGTTTATTCCTTTATATTTTCTCAATCACAACAATCTTGACTTCTTCAAGTCTAGAATTAGTTATCTTTCCCGCACAGATCCATAAGAAAGTGTAAAAACTGACTTCACTTTTTACCCTTTCCAACGCTCATAAAAACCACACAGTAACCTTCTACCTTGAGTAGCTCTTGGGCCTTGTATTGAGTGAACATTAGTAAAAAACAAAAAAAAAAAAAAAAAAAACGTAATAGTATTGTTTATTTAGTAACACTTGCTTTAATACAGCATCTGGTATTCCCAAGCGGTCACCCATCAAGGTACTGACCAGGCTCGACGTTGCATAACTTCGGTAATCGTACGGGAACCACGTGATGTGGCCGTAAGCCCTCGGAGTGGTGACTTTCTTTTTGAATTTTCGTCAAATGTAACCCCTGGTCAATAGCAACCAATAATTTAGCCATATGACCTGCGTTGGTTTTCAAGTTCCTTCAGACCACCATGGTTACCATCTAACTGATTCCTCTCTCGTTAACGCGTTGCTGGTTTGTCGCTGGTATCGTGATGATAGACGCGGTTCCACTCTACTGAGCTAGGGTTTGTCTGTTCACGACCATTCGGTCTGCCACGTTGTGTTTTCAGAGGGCGAGAAGATTACCGATGAAGCAAACTGAAGTGAAGACTGGTCGACGGTTGAATGCTACACAAAAAAATCTTTTGAAATAAAGAATTAACTCGGGTTAAAAATGTAACAACGATTTGGTTTATATATGATTTATTGTACACAGCAGTATTAACCCTTCCCACTTACTATTATAATAAAATGACACTGGGATTCCCTTTGGAGTCCACAGCTTGTGTTAGTAGTAACATAAATGGTGCTGGTCTTCAGGGCCGGTACAAGGCATTGGTATGGTGGTCTCCGCAAACGACGTGGATTCCAGTAGCAGTAATGTAGGGACCCTTCAAGTTGTCCAAGCCTCCACCTTATATGGAGTCCTGCGTCCGGCATGGGTGGGATTGAGCAGGGTCTGAGTTCGGTTGTCTTTAGCATCAACCTTTTTCTAAAATTCCATATTCTTTAAATACGTTTACTAGAGTGGTTTTCCAAATTTGGGGTTATCCAGCCCCCTTTTGAGAATGGTCAGAGAAATTATGCCGCCCCTTAACTCCAAATCTCTTCACGTCACATCTCGCATCATCGTTCCTTCTTCCTCTTTCTCAGCATCTAACCTTAGCCTACTCCATGGGCAGATACACCGTCCTTTGACGAATTCAAACTTTCAGATGCTCCCCACCCTGACAGCTAATATCAAGAATTATCATGGGTGGGAAGGAAAAGGAAAGAAAAACATTCCCAATCTCTTTCTTCTGCTTATGCATTTTTGCCCACGGTCACTCCAAAATAGCAATTAATATTTCTATATCACTTGTATCCAAAGGAATCCGAATTAAGGTCAGATATAAAATTTTTCTTTACAAATGTCAAAGAAATTAAAATCATCGAACTCGTCAGGCTAATCGCTATTTTTTAGCTAATCTCACTTTTCTTCTAGGTGGCCGATTCAAGCCAGATGGGTTTTCCCGGCTCTTTGTCCAGATTTTTAAATGTTAATTCGGTGATCACCAGGGTTTCTTTATCGACAACATATGTTTTTCTATTTGACGAGAAGTGGAGAAGGATGGGTAGTCTTGGTTTTGCTCAATCTTACTGAATTACGTCTAGTTAAAATTGGGATTCTTCTTGGAACCGCTCGGGAGTTCACTTACTACGTTCAACATGATTTTTCAACGCATTTCACTTTTAATTTTCTTCTTAACTTTACAATCCATCTTCATGCGAATTTCTACAATTATCATTTAGTTAGTAGACTCTTTCCTCTTCCTTCTTTCTATATTTCCCTTTTTGTTTGATCAAACCCCGTAAATCCCAGTGTTACACAATGAGGAATTATCATTAATTACATTATTTACATTAGAACTATTATCCTTATCTGCAGAACTAAGAAACGAGAAACATGTGTGCATCAAGCATTAATCTGGCTCTTATCCCTCCCCAGCTATGGATTAAATAGAAGGGTAGATTGGCTTTTCTAGCGCTGGATGGAAACTTATCTTAAAATTCTAAACTGTATAGAAGACAACGGGAAACCACTCTATCTTTCCAAGAATGCATGGCAATTTACAGGTAAGGAATATGTGAAGGATCATGATCACCTATGTCCCAAAGGTACATGGTATCTTAAAAAATGTTTTAAAAAACACCATTTTTTTCTTGTACTCTCTCAGAATGCATATTCGCTATCTGGAGATCGATTTTGATATTACTATTGATTGATGAATCATCAAAAAATAAATATATATGAAATAATTATTATTGTTGTTGTTTGTTGTCGTATAGCGCGCATATTTAATGAAATTCGTGAAGTGAAAACTGATAAGACAAAGGGGAAAACATCTGAGTGGATAATTGCTTAAGAAGATGCCAGTTCGCCGGTCTAATTCTGTTTAATTAAAGTTAATTATGTATCGGCTCGAATGTAGTCGATTCTCAGTCCAAGGTGTTTGTTGTGTTCAAATAAAATCATTTACCCTCATCAACCCCGAAATAATTTCAGTCAAAGCAAACAGATCTAAAATTGAGTCATCGGGTTAATCTGAACTAATTTTCTCAAATATTCTGTACTGTTTATCATTCTTTTGACACAGTTTAACAACATCTTCAAGCGCAAATTTGACAGGCTTCGTAAATTTTGACAAGATTGAAAATCAGAAAACCCAACGTCTCGTATGACAAATGATGTATAACAAAATTAGTGTGATTTGGTCACATTGGTGAGCATCACATGAGCCAGAATTTGATAGGCTACAATTGTTACCACCTTTGAAGGCAGATATCCACCAATTTCAATAGAAAAAAAAATCGTTCATAGGATATCACTGGAACTTCAACGATGTTTCCAAATTGGGCCACATCAAAACATGTCTCTTTTTCATGCATTTATTACACGTTTATGGAATTCTAATATGTATAGAAAAAGTAGATTTAATGAATCCCAAGGGGTCTTATTTTGACATATTGTCTCTCACTCGTTGGCATTAATTAATTTATTTTTGGATGGGTGTTCAAATATTAGCATCAAAAAGGTCAGAGGTGCACCAAAACTTTTCAGATCTTTCTTCTTTTAAATATAAATTGTTAACTTGATATTAAAAGTTTGTACATCGTCTGACAACAACAAAAAGAACATCTTATCCTTGTGAATGGACAGGAATAACTAAGCAACCAAAATATTGAGAGAGAGAAAGACAGAGTGAGAGACAAAAAGAGAGTGTGTGTGTGAGAGAGAGAGAAAACTGAGAAAATATTTTAAGCATTGAACAAATGAGAGTATCGTCGTCGGCATCCGTCCGTCTCGAGAGACGATGGAGTAAGCGCGGTGCTCTACGAGCCTGGGCGGGATATATGGAGAACTCGGGCTACCCAGACGTCTACTTCCCACTCTCGGCCTTGCTAGCAGAGTCCAAAGGAAAGGATAAACCAATACAGTTTGGTACCAGCGCGGCTGCAGGGGTTGCCGGAAGGTAGCACAAAGTGCCGTCCATCCGCCTTAGGGACTCCACTCCGGGTTTGAATTCAGAGTTGTCCTTCTTCTAGAGCAGTTGCCATCCAAGGCTATACTGTGCCTCCTGAAATGAGAGTATATAGAAGAGCTAACTTTATATAGGCGAAGCTAACTTTAGCACAAAACTTTCGAAGTGCATCCGGTGAGGAACGAACTCTCAAACAATGGCGTGCTTGATAAACACATTTAACCAGATCACTCAACAGCAAGTACTCTAAGATGAAGAGGTATATATGTATATCAGGCATTAATCTGTATCTTCTCCCTCCCCAGCTATGGGTTAAATAGAAGGATAGATTGGCTTCTCTAGCGCTGGATGGAAACTTGATATGAATTCTAAACTGTATAGAAGGCAACGGGAAACCACTCTATCTTTCCAAGAATGCATGACAATTTACAGGTAAGGAATATGTGAAGGATCATGATTACCTATGTCTCAAAGGTACATGGTATCTTAAAAAATGTTTTAAAAAACACATTTTTTTCTTGTAATCTTTCAGAATGCTCATTCGCTATCTGGAGATCGATTTTGATATTGCTATTGATTGATGAATCATCAAAAAAAAATCTATTAAATACCTTGTGCCAGACTAAGCTTAGGAAAAGCTTTCTTTTCTTTCTCTTTTATCAGTTTAAAAACAAATTGTCAAACTCTGTTTATATTTCTGAGATGAGGTATTATGTACACTTTTTACATTAATCAGACTATTGTCCTCATCTTGGTCGCCATATTTATTACGTTTCGGCCCTTCAGTAACTGTCTATATTTCTCAGATGAGGTGTTATTGACACTATTTACATTATTCGGACTATTGTCCTCATCTTTGTCGCCATATTTATCACAACGTTTCGGCCCTTCAGTATCTGTACCCTCTGGCATTCTTCAGGTGGTTGGAATGTCGAACCGAACCCTTTATTTCGCTCAAGGACACATGGCACAGTGGATAAAGGCGTTAGTTAGATCTAGTGACAGGATCCAAAGAGTGTGAGTTCAATAACTGGTTAAGGCGGTGGAGAATTTTGAGAGGGGAATTAACAGGAGATAACTGACATCCATTAGACATGGCACGTGGAACTAGAACAGTCTACCCCAGTGATCAAAATAAAGAGTTCAGTTCGACATTCCAACCACCTGAATAAGGCCGGAGCGTACAACAGCCGAAACATTGTGATAAACATGGCGACAAAGATGAGGATAATGTAAATAGTGTAAATTGTCAGACATTAACTAAATAATAGTTTTAGATCGCATGAAAAAACAAACGGAAAATACGTTGATAATATTAATAATTTATATAGTCTTGTAATATAAAATATGGATGTTAGTTAAAGAAAAAAGTCTTAGGAAGCCTTGTTTAGTAAATTAATCATGCATTTTTCACTAATGTCAGGGGAGGCTGTGTTCGACCCTAGGTAAAAGCAAAAGCTGATTTTTCCAGCTAGGTATACCTTACCTACGTAAGGAACTTAAATGTCAAAACTGTCGCTTATGATCAGGAATCCGTGCCTTAGACACAGTACCTCCCCAGTACACTTAGATTTCACGAGTACACCCTGACGTCTGCAACAAAAACTGAGAAAGCTATTTTGAGGGGCAACTACGCATAAAAGAAAAAAAAAACTTCTAGTTCAATTCTGCATTTTGATAAAATAAACATTTTAAAGTAAAAAACACACACAAATAAAAACATCCAGTGTTTTGAATGCTGATTTCCAAACCTCCACACTTAGAAAACTGGCGCAACACA